TCTCGGAAACTGGAATTATTCTTTTCTGAAAATCGAAATTCCATTCTATCTCGCAATTTTTTTGAAAACCGAAATCTTGCGAAGCCTACCAATATTGCGTTAGGCATATTCGGAGGTTGCTATATTCTCAGAAACTGGATTTCGTTCTTTTCTGGAAATCGCATCTTTACTCCATTTCGCAAAATTTTTTTTTTCAAGATCGCAGTTTGTAAAAGACGAAACTTTGCGGAACCTAGCCTAGATCTCGTTCATAGTACTCTTCTGACATGTCCTACTCATAATAGATTGACAGATATACCAAAAAAAAAAAAGAAAAAAAAAAAAGGAAGTACTCTTTTATTTTTTATTTTATTTTTATCTGTTGATTAGGGCCGGAGGGAAGTATTGTTGGGTTGTTTGCCTACCTACGTTCTCCACTCCCACCCACCCTTTGCATGCAATTCCGGGTTGGTACAGTGCCACGTCAGACACAGTGCCATGTAAGCAGTGCCACGTCAGACACAGTGCCATGTAAGCAGTGCCACATCAGCAGTGCCATGTCAGAGTGCCACATAAGCAGTGCCACATCAGCAGTGCCACGTCAGACAGTGCCACGTCAGCAACATGATGGGCCTGCCCGGCCAACTGGCAGGCCCATTGCCGACTACAAAAAGCGCTTCCATGCTCAGCTCGCTCTAATCGAGGCTGAGGAACAACGCCAGCTGGGAGCCAAGGCTGCCCAGCTACAGGCTGAAGAAGCCACAACAACAAAGAAGCTGCGGCTACAGGCCGAAGCAGACGCAGATGCCCTGGCTCGCCGCAAGGAAGCCCAGGCACTGCTGCAGCGGCATGAAGCCAACAGCATCGAGAAACTCAAGTAATGGCACTTTGAAACCGAACGGCGACGAGGCAACACCGGAAGAGCAGCATAAGGAGTTCATGGCCAAGCTCGTGAGCAGAATGGTTTACACGTGTAACCACCTACAGTCCGAGCTGGCAAACCTCCAGCGGGCCGTGCGGAATCATAAGACTCAGCACAAGGATGCCACACGGGTACTGGACGCCCGTGTACTGGGCCTGGAACAGGCTGTAACAGGACCAGATGCTGGGGCTTCCAGCAGTGCATCCTCTAGCCGCCTACTGGAGGAACGCATTGACCACGTAGTGGAAATGCTCGGCGACATCAGCACCTTCGCTGCGCCGACCACCATCAGCAGTCAGCTGCATACCTTCAACACCGAGGTCCAGCAGTTGCAGTTGACGAACGCGGATGACAATCCGAAGATGTACAAGATGCCAACTTTCCAACTGGACAAGTTCGACGACTACACACAGCAGGATCCGGTCCTCTGGTGGGAAGCATTCACAACGCAACTCAGGATTCTGCCCGTAGCCAAGCATGCGTACATCGGCGCCCTGTTCCTGAACTCAAAGGGCGGATGCCAAACCTGGTTGAGCCACCTGGCAACCTCCCACGGCGTCGACGTACCGGACTTGAAGGACAAAATCACATGGGAGGAACTGACACGGCTTTGGAAGAAGCGGTTCATCGTCGACGACGCGCCAGCACTCGCTATCAACTGTCTGTTCACCATGTCACAGGGCAACACTGCAACACGGGATTGGCTTACGGAGTGGAAGAAGATTGCGGCGGTGCCCAATCTGGAATTGGCATTCACGCATCTACACCGCGAGTTCTACAATAGGTCTTGTGCGACATTGAGCCAGGCTCTTGGTGATCGCGAGCAGTACTCAACCTTCGCGGAGATTATCGACAAGGCGAGGGAAATCATCAAGACCAACAGGTCAGCTGCACACGAGAAATCAACATGGCAGCCGACCTATGTCGAGAAGGTACGAACAAGTCCGCGACAGCAGCACTTCGCTGCAGTCCAGTCGGACAGTGGAGATAACCCAGCAACCACTCCAGCATCAAGTGACGGAAATCAGGTGGTTGTTGTCCAGCCGCGAAGCAACAACAAGTCCCGCARCAATGGGAAGGCGAAATCCGCATCGCAGGCCGGAAATGGACAGCCAGTACAAGTTCCATGGGTCAAGTTCGGCTTGACCGAGGCGGAGTACAAGGTCCGCGGCCGCTACGGCAGCTGCTATTGGTGCAACGGCACCAAGCACAAGACCTCCCTGTGCTAGGATCAGTGCAAGGAGGATGTGCGACCCCGCCTCAGCTCGGGAAACTGAGCTCCRCGGAAGGTGAGGCGACTCCACCTTCTACTCCGCCAGATTCGGCCGCCTTGCTAGCGGCCTCCTGCACATCTGGGGAGAACGCGAATGTCGCAGGTTCTCGTTACACTTACGAGGACTATGCTGTCCACTTGGTTCCACCGCTGGACCAACTGCTCCACGTGCAATAATCCATCGCATGCACGGTTTCATCACCATCGGCAACCGATTCGGCAGCTTCGCCGCCATCTATCGTCGGGGATTCATCGTCGTGGTCAAGACTTGAGGTGCTCGACCCACTGACGTTCACGGACTTCCAGTGGATGCCCGTTCCCCCGACCAGACGATTGACGAAACCGCATTGCAACGTGCTCATGGCACAATTGCGGGATTACTTGCACACTGCAGTACCGACTCCGTTGATGGACACCGGAGTAGAGGTTGTCGACCCTCACGTCTACATTGCGAAGATCGACTGCGAGTTCAAGACGCAACGGTACGACGACATCAACGCACCATTGCTATATGTACGCATTCAGATCGGAGAAGCGACTTGCAGCGCTTTGATCGATTGCGGAGCATCTCACAACTACATCAGCCAGGACTTCATGGTGTGCGCCGGCCTTGGCCCACGCGTCCGGAGGAAGTCCCAGCCTACGAAAGTCACGTTGGCAGACGGTCACACGCACAAGTCAATCGACCGGTGCATTGACAACGTCCCAGTGTACTTTGCCCCTCACGCAAGTGAGGAGGTGCCCTTTGACATTCTGGACACCAAATTTGACATGATTTTGGGCATATCATGGCTGCGAAGCGAGGATCACCCGGTGAACTTCTTCCACCGCACCGTCCACATTCGTGATCGGAACGGAGTACTAGTTCCATACACGGTGCCTCTTCCTCATCCTTTGATCAGCAGCCACGTGGTATCCACCGCAAGCATGCGAGCTTCCATCATCAGAGACGCCCTCCCGCCCCATGACGCTTCCTCGACAGACTCACCTTCGGATCCACGCATCACCGAGCTTCTCGACGCCTATTGCGACGTGTTCGAAGGCCCGCACGGAGTAGTACCGGATCGACCCATCCGCCACGAKATCATCCTCRAGGACGGGGCCGTACCTCCGCGCGGTTGCATCTACCGAATGAGCGAGGAAGAGTTAAGTGTGCTTCGGGCACAACTCGACGACCTTCTGGAGAAAGGCTGGATTCGGCCTAGCTCATCGCCATACGGTGCTCCTGTTCTCTTCGTCCAAAAGAAGAACAAGGATTTGCGGTTGTGCATCGATTATCGCAAGCTCAACGCGCAGACGATCAGAAACGCAGGCCCTCTCYCACGCATCGRCGATCTTCTCGAGCGACTGGGCGGCGCCAAGTTCTTCTCCAAGCTCGATCTCAAGTCGGGATATCACCAACTCGAGATTTGCAAGGAGGACCGTTACAAGACCGCGTTTAAGACGCGATATGGGCATTTCGAATGGATGGTTATGCCATTTGGCCTTACGAATGCCCCGACCACTTTCCAAGCACCTATGACAACGAAGTTCCGACACATGCTGGATCGATACGTACTTATCTACCTCAACGACATCCTGGTGTACAGCCGGAGTTTGGAGGAGCATGTGGAACACCTGCGCACCGTTTTGGAGCGGCTACGATAAGCCAAGTACAAGGCCAACCGCGACAAGTGCGAATTCGCACGACAGGAGCTGGAGTACATGGGACATTATGTGACGCCGCAAGGCATCCGTCCGCTTGCGGACGAGATCGAGGCCCTATGAGTATGGCCCGAGCCCACCAACACCATGGACGTTCGTTCATTCATGGGATTGGCAGGCTACTATCAGCAATTCATCGCCGGATACTCGAGGATTGCTGCACCCATGACGAGGTTACAGTCGCCAAAGGTGCCGTTCGTATTTGATGACGACGCACGCCGGTCATTCCAAGCACTTAAGACGGCCATGCTCATGGCACCCGTCCTTAGCATCTATGACCCCACCCTGCTAACGCGAGTGACTACGGACGCTTCCGGCTATGGCATTGGGGCAGTCTTGGAACAGCACGACGGCGACGATTGGCACCCTGTGGAGTATTTCAGCCACAAAGTGCCTCCCATCAACTCGCTTGATGATGCGAGGAAGAAGGAGCTGCTCACATTCGTCATGGCTCTCAAGCGATGGCGACACTTCCTCCTTGGGTGTCGTAGGTTCACATGGGTTACAGACATCAATCCATTGACCTACTACAAGACGCAGGATACGGTGAGCAGCACGATGGGACGATGGATATACTTCATCGACCAGTTTGACTTCACACCGAAACATCTACCCGGCCTCTCAAATCGCGCAGCAAATGCACTCTCGCGAAGACCAGATCTTTGCGCTATGACACATCATGCCTTCGCATTTGACGAGGAGCTTCAGCGACACTTCATCCAGGCATATGAGTCTGATCCGGACTTCACCACGCTGTACGCACAGCTATCTTCGGATCACCCGTCGGCCAGCCATTATCGCATCGCCGACGGATACTTGCTCCTCCACTCGAGAGGCAACGACTTACTATAAGTCCCACGCGACCGTTGTCTTCCTCGGCGAGTATCATGATTCACGACTCGCCGCCCATTTTGCAGTCAACTGCACTATTGCACGGCTTCGAGAGCGATTCCGATGGCCCGACCTCATTACCGATGTCACTCGGTATTGCGACTCGTGCGAAGTTTGCCGACGCAGCAAACCCCGCAACCGCAATCCCTATGGCGAGTTACACCCGATGCCTATCCCACGGGAACCCGGTCTCTCCATTGCCATGGACTTCACCGGTCCATTTCCTCGCGACCAGCTCGGGCACGACGGCATCCTCACGGTTGTGGACCGATTGAGTAAGTACGCGCGTTTTCTCCCTTCCAAGTACTACTCCAGGCTCCCGAGCTGGAACGCCTCCTGCACACTGGTTGGATTTGTGGCCATAGTGTACCAGAAGACATTATCAGCGACCGCGACACTCGTTTCATGTCGGCGTTTTGGACTACTCTCATGCAGGAGTCCGGCACAACAATGAAACCAAGTTCGGCTCGACATCCTCAAACAGACGGGCAGACGGAGCGGGCACACCAAACCGCTCAAATGATGCTTTGTACGCTCATCCGTCCGGACCAGAAAGATTGGGTTGACCGCCTCCTCGACATCGAGTTCGCCTACAACACTTCGGTGCACCCGGCGATCGGCGTGACTCCATTCGAGTTGCACCACGGTGGACGGAAAGGCCATATCTTCGCCAACCTTCTCCTCCCTCGACCAGCCGACATTGACGCTGCCTGCTCTCCCTCTTCCGTCCGGAAGTACAGGGAAGTGCTGACTCGAGCCCGCCCAAACATGCAAAAGGCTCAAGTCCGCATGCACCAGCAAGCCAACAAGCGTCGCGTACCATGTCCCATCCGCGCCGGTGATCTAGTTTGGGTCTCCGTGGAAGAGTTTGCACTGGAACAAGATGTTTCACGCAAACTGCTTCCCAAGTGGTTTGGACCTTGGTCTGTGACAGCAGCCGCGGGCGATGAGCCCAATGGCCCTTCATTTGTGATCAACATTCCAGAGCATCTGACGGTCCATCCGGTCTTCCACGCCTCGAAGCTGGCAACATACACGCCAGCCAAGAGCGACGACTTTCCGGGCCGACGATCCCAGGACCCTCCTTCTATGGATGGTCATCAGGAAGTTGACCGCGTCATCACCGATCGCAAGTACGGCAGCAAGCCGCGGCAGTCACATTCAAAGCATGCGATCGCGACGACACTCGGTGGATTTCAGGCGCATATTAAAGCATCCGCACCGCTGATCTACGCGCATTATGAAAAGCGGAGGTTAGCTCCGGAAGCTTCATGACCAGCCCCTCCCACCCGGACTGTGGTCCCTCCCTCAGACAGACAGCTTCGCCCTCGAAGGTAAGCTCGGTTCTTCAAGGAGGAGGGGGGCGGTGGCATACTGCGTAGCCACACGGGCCCTGCAGGGCCCGTCCCGGACATTCAGCCTAAAAGCCTAAAACTTAGGGCTTACGGGCCCCGGTCGTTTCAGCCTGAAAGCTGAGAAACGAGGGTCTGCAGGCCCTATTCCGTTTCAGCCTATTTCTGGGTCGGTTTTTCCAGCCTGAAACGGAGGACCACTTTCAGGCCCTCATTGTTTCAAACTGCCCCTAAGACTCAGGCACGTAAACAGGGATGTGGAACAGGCCAGAAATAGCCTGTTCCTCACGAGCTCGAGCAGGAGCTGCAGCTGCAGCCCCTGCCTCCTTTCGGCATTGGCAAGAGCAGCCTCCTGAACTGCTCGCACGGCTCAGGAGGCACACCCGGTAGTACATAGGAGGTTCCCATGCACTTCACGGGTAGGTAGTTGTCAGTAGGCACGGGTAGTCTTCATGATTCGGCCGCAGCACTCAGGAGGAGCGCTGCAGTAGTCTTCAGCGCTAGGCAGTAGTAGTAGCGCTAGCTGTAGTCTTCGGCGCTGGGCGCCCATAGCCGTAGCAGTAGTCTGCAGCGCTGGGCGCTGGTAGGTGGTAGATTGTAGAGTGGGAGAGATACTGGCGGAGGCCAGTGGTACTTACTTACCTGTGGCGCCATCGCTCCAGCTCCATCTTTGTGGTACCTGCATCAAGGCGCCAACTTCACAGGTTAGTACTGGACACAGAGAGAGAGAGAGTTCTTCTTCTTCCTCTTCTAAGTCCACCATCTCTTCTCACCCTCTCGCCACCTGACTTCTCAGACTACGACAGAGAGAGAAAGAGTTGTGACTTGAGGCTTGACGACATTGGATCCAGACTGGACATTGGSATTCAGACATTTCGACGAGGGACTATTTGGGCCTGTACCGAGACTTGGTGTTGACGACATTCCCATCTTCCCCTCCTCTTTCGTCTAACCCCTCCTTCTTCGTCTGTGTATGGTTGGTGCTGGTGCAGTCTTCTTGTGTGAAGCGCCAGACCCCCTTCACACCAGATAACGATGCTGATGATGTGTGTTCAGAACTGCATTGCAATAATGATTGTTCGGATCATTCGTATCTAAGTCTTCCGCTACGCTATCTTCTACTTCGCATTGAGAGGTGGGTTCTTGTTCTGGTCTGCACAGTTACAGCATGCAACAGTGCCTTAGTGTGATTTGGTTATTTTCTTTCAGTTCTGTGAGGAATTCTGATGTGACCCTCAGCCAAAAGTTGTTTGTATTGCAACTCTAAAACAAAACAAAAAATTCAGATCTTTTTGGATATTTCTTTTTTTTTTTTTTTACGCTGGTGCTGCCCGGGCCCATGCCTGGGGGTCATGCCCGGCCGGTCACCCGGTCGCCAAACCGGGCGTGACGTCGGGACCCGGGCGCCAAACTTTTTTTTTTTCTTTTATGTTGTGTTTGTGGCCCTTCAGGCCCATTTGGAGTCTTCACTGCCCTCGTGTGCTATCGAGAATTTTTTCGAGACAATGGAATGCGCGGTCAAATTTTCTATGATGATCTAAGCAATCAGTGGCATATCAACAAATGTCATTATTGTTATGTCGACCACCAGGTCAAGAAGCTTTCCCAGGAGATGTGTTTCACCTACATTCTCGGTCATTAGAAAGGATTCACACTGCAGACACCCAGTCCCGGTCCCAGGGTCCCGACGAGTCCCAATCCCAGCCAGTCCCGTCGGGTAGGTCGTAGGGTCCCTTAGGTCGAAGCGTCGTAGACTCTAGGCATCGATAACAAAAAGTCACAAATCGGTAGCAGTATGTCCAGTACCCGACAAGAAAAGTCCGGAAGAGCCCAGTAGAGGCCAACAGTCCCAAGTCCAGAAATTCGCAGCAGGGGCCCAGGAAAGACCGGAAGCATTCGGATCGACAAAATGATTGCAGCGCGCAGGCCACGGCCGACCAGTACCAGTCTGAAGCAGGCAGGTCAAGTCCTGTATTTAGCTGCTACAGTGCAGCACGTAACACACTGGTTCAATTGCAAAGATGTGGAAGCGCTGATGCTAGTGCATTAAGACAACTTGGGCAGAACGCGCCGGGAGATGAAGTGGGCGCACGACCTAGCCATAGCTAGGTAGTAGGGAAGGAAGATCGGTGGCCATAGCCGCCAAGGTGGTAGCATAACTGAGAAGGGTGCATCCAGCAGAGAGGGAGGGGGAGAGAGAGAGAGAGGGAGAGAGAGAGAGAGGGAGAGAGAGAGAGAGAGAGAGAGAGAGAGAGAGAGAGAGAGAGAGAGAGAGAGAGAGAGAGAGAGAGTCATGCCCAGTTGGGCGATGTACACGTAAAACCGAGGATCCGCAATCTGATAAAAAGGACTGAATGGACACTGCAATGCAAGTGGAATCTCAACAAGCAATGTGCATTTCGATACAGAATGGTGCTTCATAGCGCAGGGAAGACTTAGATACAAATCCTGACCTGACTGGGACTGACCTCCATCACGTAGCACAAGATAATGAAGCAGAATGCTAGAATGCAAATGACTAGCCCAATCCATGTTCAAACGCAGGCCAAACATGCATCATATCCATCACAAGGTGTGAAGGAGCCTGGCGCTATACACAGGAAAGAGGCGCCAGGTCCAGACATACACAGACGAAGAGGAGGGGATCAGACGAAGAAGAGGAAGGGGGAGATGGGAAAGTCGTCAACACCAAGTCTCATTTCAAGTCCCAAATAATCCCTCTTCGATATGTCTGAAGTCCAATGTCCAGTCTGGATCCAAATGTCACCAATCCCTCTCTCTCTCTCTCTCTCTCTCTCTCTCTCTCTCTCTCTCTCTCTCTCTCGTAGTCTGCTGATGCCGTGAAGTCAGATAGTGAGAGGGTGAGAAGGAGATGGTGGACTGAGAAGAGGAAGAAGAAGCACTCTCTCTCTCTCTTGTATACCAGGTACTAACCTGTGAAGATGGCGCTGTGCTGCAGGTACCTCGAAGACGAAGCTGGAGCAATGGCGCTGCAGGTGAGTACCCCTGGCCCTCCGCCCAATCTCTCTCTCTCTAAGGCTACTCTAGCTATGGTGCCCAGCGCCGAAGACTACTACTAACGCTGCAAGTGCCCAGCGCTGAAACTAAGGCTAACGCTACTACTACTACTGCAGCGCTCCTCCAGAGTGCTGCTGCCGAATCCTGAAGACTACTGGCTGCCTCCTGCCTGTCCGTGAACTGCATGGGAAGTCCCTATGTACTACCTCGGCCTGCCTCCTGGCTGCCTCCGACTGCCTGCAGTTGCAGGGCGGGCAGTCCAGGAGGCTGCTCTTGCCAATGCCGAACTGGGCCAGGGCCTGACGCTGCAGCTCACTGCTGAGGCTGTCGTGGGAACAGGCCAAAAATAGCCTGTTCCTAAAACCCTGGTTTGGTGCCTGAGTTTTGGGGCAGGTCGGTCTGATGAGGGCCCGAAAATGGCCCTCAGTTTCAGGCTAAAAAGGCTCATGCCGTTTTTAGTCTGAACCGACACAGGGCCTGTAGGCCCCTGTTTCCAGCTCTACGAGCTGAACAGACACGGGGCCTGTAGGCCTTAAATTTCAAGCTTTCGGCCTGAAATCCAGGCTTTTAGCCTGAAGGACGCAGGGCCAGGAAAATGGCCCTCGTGTGCAGGCGCAACATGTAACAGAGAGAGAGAGAGAGAGAGAGAGAGAGAGAGAGAGAGAGAGAGAGTAATGCAGAGAGATAAAAGGGAAGAGAGAAGACCATAGGAGATGGAGAGAGAGAGAGAGGGAATCCATAGCTGCTACTAGGTCGAGATAGATTCTGAGTTGTGTGTGTGTGTGTGCGGCAAGGCCGCTGGAGTGACGAACACTTCTTGTATCATAATGATAATTTGGCGACGGATTCTTCATGTGCCAATTGTATCTCGATTTGGAGTTCTCACGTGTGAACACTCATCTGAATGTTCGCTACATGTGTGCGAGGTTTGAGCTTGTGTGAACTCAGATCATTTCACTGGTCTCGGACGAACACTTCTTGTACCATAATGATAATTTGGCGACGGATTCTTCATGTGCCAATTGTATCTCAATTTGGAGTTCTCACGTGTAAACACTCATATCTGAATGTTCACTGCATGCGTGCGAGGTTTGAGCTTGTGTGAACTCGGATCATTTCATTGGTCTCGGAGCAGGAGTCCGCTGCACCTACTCGGGGATAGCGGCGCTGGCAAGAAGAAGGCCAGTGGGCGATAAAAAATAATAATAATAAACATAAATAACAATAAAAATCGAGGTTGAAGTGTGAGGGCTGAAGAAGAAGGGGCACTGCAAGGAGGAAGAGGAGCACATACCTGCGATCGAGGAGCTTCATCGACGGAACGTTTGAGAAGTGAAGTGCTTCTATGCCCTGGCCCTGTCGTTTATGCAATTTCAGTTTTTGTTGTGAATGGTACCTTCCCAAAACTTTCGTGGTGACCTTGCTGCAATTAGGTTTCTTCCTGACGTCATCTGATCGCACTTGGTCTCTTTTGCTGTTGTCGAGTCTGCAAATCTGTTAATGAATGCTGTGTCTAGGTCTGAGGTAGCAACTCGCCAGCTGGAGGTATCCCCAGACCTAGTAGGAAGCACGGGCAATGAGCGGTGGCCGCTTGTAAAACAACCCGGCTATGCCCAATGACCGGTACAGACCGGCGTACTCCAAGGGACGCAGTGAGGAGTTGTAGAGGGCAGTAGGGTTCGCCAGCTGTACTATGCATGGAACTGTCGGGGTGGAGAAGTAAGGTCCACCAGTTGAGGACGCCAGGGAGATCCCCCAGGACCAGTACCGACAGGCTGGCTAATCGCAGGTGGTAGTCATACCCGCGAACTGCGGCAATCAGTGAGGACTAGATGACCCGTTGCAGCTTCGCCCGCACAACAGAAAAGGAAAATGCACAAAAAAAAGAAAAAGCATAACGAACCGCCCTATCATATGCCGATTCTTTCACAATAAGAAAAAGAAGAGCCTGAGAGCAGACTGAACTTTGCGTGCAAGAAAATAGGAGGGAATACCACCGAATCCTTTTTTTAACTTTATCTGTGAGTCTTTTGTTTGGGAAGTCATTACCTTTGCAGCATCGTTT